CTTCCATTTATGCTGATTTCTGCTAAATAAAAAGGTAGAAACCCCCCCAAAAGGTAATTCCTCTCATCTCTGATCTTTGAAGTAGGCTGACCAATTCTGTGCCTTTTTTCTAGGAAATAAAGCTTACCATGGCCATAATAACAACAATACAATAATGGTCTACAACAGTGGTTCTCAACCTGTGGGTCGGGACATACATAGTCTGCCATTTTTTCCCCCTTTTCCTTAGCTGTGCTACTCCCTTTTATTCTATTGGCTTTTGAAAGCCAATAGAATAGACTCTCTTGAATAGAGTCTAATTCTATTGGCTTTCAATAGCCAATAGGAATTGTCCAGGCTGTCTCTGCCCTCCTGAGCCCGCCAAAAGTCCCATTCTGCAAACGGTGCTGCACCAGTTGAGTAGTCCTCGACTTATGACCGGTTGAGTAGTCCTCGACTTACAACCGGTTAGGGGTCGCGGCATTAAAAAGGTTGAGAACCACTGGTCTACAATATAGCCATTGCATAGTTTGCATGTGTATAGTTTGTTGTTGGAATCCAATATCTATCGTTTCTATATCTGGTTTATGGCTTAATGTTTTATGCTAACCTAGCCAACTGTAGTTATTTAAAAACCATGATTAAACAAGAATGGTTCATGTAAATAAATACTGCAGCCCCTTAATCCAGTAGTTATTTTTCATCTCATAGCTTTTAATAGCTTTTGTAGCTGCATCCATAAACTGTTATATAGGGCTTTTTTTTTTCTCTGTTACAAATACCAGCAAATGTTTCATACCCTAAGTAATAAATCTGCAGGATCCTTGATGCTCTGGGAGACATTACAGTAATGGCTATAGAAATTAGTTAAAATAGCCAGCCTCAGCATTTTGAAAAAGCGAAGTTGTGGCAAGTTATCTTATAGCACTTCTAAAACACTAAGATGCCAAAACTCCTCTCTTTCTTCCAGCTGCAACTAACCTTTGCACTGATTTGAAACAGATAATGGCAAGGAATTCCATGATAAATGTAGGATAGCTTTGCATCTTGTTATTTTAGAAATGCTTTTTAGGAATCTACAGATTGGAGTCCCAGATCCCAAAAAACCATTAGCCATAGTTTACAAAGTCAGACAACACAGTAAGTCAGACCAAAGAAGCCACATCATCACTTAGTGCAAAATGTGATTCCAGTCATGGATTATTAGCTTTGTTGAGGTTAGAGAAGGAATTCTCTTCTCCATGTCTAGCCTGTTTTGTTTTTAAGTCTTCCCCTGTGTATTGGACAAAAAAATCAAGAACCATTCAAAACTTCTAACTAAAATCATTCCCTGTTGATATAAATGGATGGTGGGTGGTGTAGACCAGTGGTTCTCAACCTGTGGGTCGGGACCCCATTTGGGGTCGAACGACCATTTCACGGGGGTCGCCAAACAACGCAGTCTGCCATATTTTTCCCCTTTTCCTTAGCTGTGCTACTCCCTTTTATTTTATTGGCTTTTGAAAGCCAATAGAATAGACTCTCTTGAATAGAGTCTAATTCTATTGGCTTTCAAAAGCCAATAGGAATTGTCCAGCTGTCTCTGCCCTGCTGAGCCTGCCAAAAGTCCCATTCTGCAAACGGTGCTGCACCAGTTGAATAGTCCTCGACTTACGACCGGTTGAGTAGTCCTTGACTTATGACCGGTTGGGGGTCGCGGCATTAAAAAGGTTGAGAACCACTGGTATAGTTCAGAAATCATATTGGAAAATGTAAAAAGAAAAAACTTCTCTGGGCTCCTGAATTAGGAAGTGATGCAGGGAAAATAGTGGTATAAATATTACAAACTATTCTGGAATGGTACTTGTAGCTTCACAGCTTGCAACTGATAGACCTGTCCTTCATTTTTGTTCTGTAGTTTTAATTGGAAGCATTTCCCCCCGTATTTTATAGTAAAAATCTACTGCAGCAGTCTGGAAGTGCTCATTAAAGTCCTTTTAAATGCTGTCAACTATCAGTAAAAGATTCTTTGCTCAAACAACAATTTTTCAACTTTCCAGTGTACAAATGCTCTTCTCCTTTAAAAAACATCCACAGAAACACAACCTTACTCTTCAGCCAGCCGTTGGATACATTCGGGCAAAGCAGAAAGCTACATGCTTGGCCTCTGTACCAACTGGGCAAAGAATTTTATTTAGATTTTATTGTTTTCTGGAAAGGCCAATCTGGGTTTCTTTTTTCATTGACAATCTGCTTCTGGCTGAGCCTTTAGGTTATGCTTATCCTTAAAACATGGGCGCCAGGGCTTCTGGGAAACGAGGTACCTTACTATCACAAAGATTAAGAGGACTGGAAAATGAAACATATTAGCAAAATAATAGAATTTGGGGAAATGAAATTAGCTTTGTTTGGAAGGTAATGAAAACATTTGCTAGGCAGGTTTTGTCTGAATAACAAAATGACTATTGCAACACTGCAACACCAGCTGTGCCAAAGCCATGACACAACTTACAGAGAGGGCAGAGCTGGTGTTGCAACAACAATATCCTGGTTTTTATCTTGTTACCCACTCACCCATCCCTTGCTCCCTGGTGGGGAGCAGTTCACATTAAATTACACTAACTTCCAGTGCTGATTCCAATGAGTCTGTTTTAACTGTTATTAAGCATGGATTCAATCCAATGTGTCCATCATTTTAAATAAGGAAAAAGAAAAATTGCCTTGCTGGTTCCGGGGTGGAAACAGGTCAAATCAGAATACAGACAATTCTTAACATGCGCCATTGCATTTATTATCAATGTGCACTACAAGAAACCGATAACCTTAGCTTATTAAGTGAACAGTGAAGTGCTTTGTTCAGCATCTGTCCTAGAACTTATTCCTATATCTGAACTTTACTGTCTAAATTATATTCCATTGCAACCATTCTGACTTTACTACTTTATATTTTATATAATATATATAAATATATATTGTGAGCTCGCCAATAGGCTGATAGGTATGGGATGATAGGAGCATTACGGCCGATCGAAGCAAATGGACCGGTGACTCGCTCAAGGAGCAGGGCGCATAAGAAGCTGGCCGTATAAGTAAACTCCCAGATCCTTTACTTTCACTTTGACGATGTTGGCAGTTTGACCGACGACAGCTAAGTGGTTTTATATTAAACAGTTTTGTTTATACTTTTATCCTGGTGCTCGATTTCTTTTGTTTTTCTAACATGCACACACCCAGGATTCGCAATTAAAGACAAATACACACACACACACACATATTTCCAGCTAGCTGTAACCAACTGCCAGCTGGTCTTAATCACTTCAGTGTTATCTTTACTTCTGAATTCTCCTTTCCTTATCTGGCAGCAACTTTATTTAATTGTTTACCATACCTGCTGCAGCCACCTTCTTATCATACAAATTTATTCCGTCCTTTGCCTAATGCATTTTTGAGCCTAGCTTTACATAATACACACAGACATTTATTCATGTAGATCCCAGATTCGTTTTCCTGGCTCTGTGCCATCTCTTTCTTTCTCCCCTTGTTTTTATCTCCTGCCGCCAATCAACCTCAGGGGGGTTTGGTAGAAGCTTTGAAGACAAGTTACTGGTGCTTCTCTCTGCTGCTCTGGGCCCTAGCAATGAGCTCAGCTATAAGAGCTGCAAGCTGCTTGGCTCCCTTGGTGGGATGGAAGGACGAAAAGACTACCCTTTTCCTCTTCCCAATTCTTCTCTTGACTTCATTTCCTCTTGAGATACATCCTGTCCCTGCTGAGCTTCCTTCTCATCCATGGCTCCCCTTCGAGCTTTTCTCTGCTAGTTCCCAATCCAACATCTGGGATGCCCACCAAGGGATGTAGGTGATGCAGAATTATGACTGTCTGAGAAAAAAAAAAGCACCGTGGCAATTGTTTTATTTAAAAATGACATGATTCCAATCTCTCTTCAGGCTGAAGCTTAAATTATTCAAATATAACTGTTCCCTTATAGAAGGTCTCAAACAAAATCTTACAGAGTCTACAGTGCTGCATAGAAATGTTGTTCCATGTGGAATATCTCGAAGGGGAACTGCTTATTACCAAGGCTTTGCACATTACATTGCACGTGAACATCTTAAATGTAATCTTAGTATCTCACAATCAAACTGGAAACATGGTAGTTATTCTGGCATTCATAAATAGCTAGGATGATATCTTCCAACTATATCATCTGTTTTGCATATATCGTAGGCATCTCAGGCCATTTTGGTCTGTGGGCATTTGGGAATTTCAAGAACGGGCTTTGCTCATTTTCACTTGGAGAGGGCTACTCATTCAAAAAATGGCTGCCCAAATGGCTATGCTTGGTAACAAAACGTCTTTAACAGGAAACAAACTAGTGAAGATGCTCACTGGTACTTTCTCTAATCTCCTGGGTTTATACAACATGTTAAGCCATGTGCTGTATAAATCAAAAATCATCCAAATCAAACAAATTATCTTTATGATATAGCACAGCATATTAATGAAGTCGGTTGATGGTTTTCTTCTTTCCTAAGGACAGTGTGTTATGCTTCATTGTGTGTGATTGGTAGGAAAAGCAAGAGAATTTTCACTATTTGAATATCATTAGTTCATGTAGTAAATAGATGTATGCACTCCATACTTTCCAATGTTTCATAGGTGAAAACAACTAAATTTTAAGATCAGTATATTAATTTGACTTGGAAACAGGATTTAATATTTTCAGATGCTCGTATTTTTTTAAACTGCTACATAGAAATAGAAGACTGGACAATGGAAATGGATACTCCATGCCTTTGTTGAATAACAAGAGATTTATTTTTTTAATTTAAGAAAGATAAATTTAAGCTCCAATTACTCAGTGGACTTAACACCTGATGTTACTTGTGATTTATGAATGGTTGCTTATAGGTGTGGACTTTGTATGGATAAATATAATGAAACATGTTCAACCTTTAGTGAAACTGTATTGTAAACCTTTATACATAGAGATGAGAAGTCAAATATATATTTATAAATGTTTCAATGTTTTATTTGTCTTGTCTAATTAAGGACAAAAAAAGATAGCTATTTTTATAAAAAGCTACATATATTATCCCATAGTGTTATTACTTTACTGTGTTGCATATCAACCCTCTGAGTGGAGTAAATAAAAAGATGGTCTTTTTTATTTATTTAAAAGGTAGAAAAAATCATATAAGTGATCAACTGTACCCTGTGGTGGGTGAACTAACAGACTGCAAGCTTCAGTACCAGTTCAGATGTCTTAAGGTCTTTGGAATCCTTAAAGGGGGGCAGGCACCTTAAAAATGACAACACTAGCATCCATCTTTCACCATTGTGGTTTTAAGGGTGTCCTTAAAAAGCCAATGCAATGACAGTGATTTATCAGGCAGACGTCTCTAAGGACTTTTTCTGGGAAACACATTACTAGGAGCACATGCAAAGGCAAAGCCTCTGTCTGCAGCACGAATCCCAGGTCAATCTTCTGCCAGTATGGTGGGTGCTATGCATGAAGCTGGGCAATACCTAGACCTCGGCTTAGGGCAACGGAAACAAAACCCTCACTCACCTAATCTTTCTAGTTCGTCCAAATCTTGCCACCGACAATCCCCCCCCCCCCCAGGGAGTTAAGAGTTGGCTGGAGAACCAGGACAGTGGCACCCGGTCTCTCTTTTAACCTCCCAAGGTTGTCCTCGATGGAAGCGGGCATCAGGATAGCCCTGATCTGCCTTACGATGCCTTACGGATCGCTGTGCAGATACCGCAACTGAACCGTCAGGTGCAGCTCCGAGCAAACCTGGAAAAAGGGGCGTGTACTTTGCTGCGGGACTCGAGCGGCCACGTGCAGAGCACGGAGGAGAGCGGCAGAATCGGCGCGGCGTTGCCACATCGTCCTCGCGCCCACTTCGTTTCTCCCCCCCCCCCGTTTGGGAAAAAAAAACCACTCGGGAAGAAATGGGGGGGGAGGGCCGGAGGAGAGGCGGCGGCAGCGGCGGCTGGTGAAGAGCTCTGACGCGGAGTTGGTGGGGGCGGGAACTGCTGTTGCTACTTGGCCTCCTCCCTCTCTGTGAGGGAGCTTCGCGGCTTCCTAGCTCCCTGGCAATCCGACGTGCAAGCCCCCCCCCACGTCGCCGCCCCCGCGCCTCGGATTTAGAGGACCCGCTTCAGCTAACCCCCCCACCGCCCCTCCCCTGAGGAGAGGTCCCTGGTTGCCCGGCGCCCTCTTGACCAAGACCGTCACGGACGGCGCTTCCCGGGGGTTGCAGGCGGTCGTCTTTGCCCTCCCATTTTGCCTCCGTCGGAAGCAGAGCTCTCTTTCAAGGCGCTGCGGTGCCGCTTCAGGAACCGGCGAGGGCGAAGGAGGCTCGGCCACATGTCAGCGGCAGCAGCAGCCCTGCCTTTTTGCCCGTCTGTCACTCAGCTGCAGCCATAACACCTGTGCAGGAGCGCCGCCGCCTCCTCCTCCTCCTCCAGGAGGCCCTCGCCGCTCGAGAGGAAACCCCAGCCGCGAGCCTTCCCGGGTTGGGGGCGGGAAGGCTCCGCCGCCTCCGCGCTCCTCGTGGCCAGTCGCCGCGGCGGCGGAGATGGGAAGCAGCCCTGCTCGCGCGCCTTTGTGAGTCTCGCTCCTCCGCTCCGCTCTGACAGATGCGTGGGGAAGAGGGTGGCTCGCCCCCCTTTTCTCTGCTTCGCGGTTCCCGCGGCGGCGGCAGGAGCCCCCTTTCTTCGCTCGGCTGCCGGCTCCGAAAGGATTTACTGGATGAAGAGCTTTCTTTTGGGGTGGTTGCCGTGGGGCTCTGGCAAACGGAGAGACTTCAGCTGACAAGGTACCTGTTCTCCAGACGGCCGCGTAGGGGAAAGGAAGTGTGCCCAGATGTTCTCCTGAAGGGTATCCGCATCGTGGTCTAGCATGGGGGAGGGGAGCTACGACCGGAGGGGGGTCGCCATCCTGCTGCCGCCCTACCCCACTTTCCCTCGCCTTTCCTCCAGCTTCCCACGCCCCATAAACCCCGGAGCCCCGGTCTCTTGGTAGGAATCGTGATCCCAGCTGTCAGTTATCTGCAGGCGACGGAGACTAAAAGGACAGATTCTCCACCCTGCAATGTGAGTATTTTCTCGGAGGCTGCGTCCTTGCTTGGGGAAGGGGCTGCTGCTGCTGCTGCTGATCTTTCGGTCGCGCTGCTTGTAGGGGTGTGTTAGCAGGGCAGGCGCCGCGCGCTCTGTCTTTCGGGGTGAGGAAGGCAGGTTCCAGGCTGGGAGAAGTTGATCCTTTTTTGGGGGGGGGTGGCTTCTTCCTCTCCGCTTTTCCTCCCGGGGCTCTTCTCCGTTTGGCGCGGAGGCACAGAGGGTGGGCTTGGTTGCGGTGGGTGAGCGGAGGAGGAGAGAAGGCGCCTCAGGGTGCTGCTGCTGGTGGTAACCAGATGAAATGCAGCGGTTGCTAAGGGGAGAAAGCTTCGCTGCAATGAAGGGAGGACAGGGATCCTCCTCCATCGATTTGGCGGCCCTCTTTTTCAAAGCTGTATGGGTCTGGAGGGGCGGGGGCGGTGGTTGGTTGTGTGAGCGGGGATCAAGGTGGCAACAGCTTTGGTGGGGAATGGCAGATGCTCCTGGTAGGTGTGCTTAGGGGACTTACCGCACACAAGACGAGCTCCTGATTATGGATACCCTTTTGGACGACATCCACCCCTTTTTTAAAATCATGCTGTTTGCCCAGTGACACCAAGAAAGAGGGTGTGAACAAGTGGATAGAGGTGGCTGATTGAGTATGCCATCTTTATGGTTAGGGAAAATTGGATCCCGTGGTGCTGCAGAGAGAGAAAGAGAAAGGGGGGGGGGAAGCCGCCACTACCTGCTTTCTTTCTGCCTTCATAGATGGCCTCCTGGGCCCAATCCGACCACCTGCACTCACTTGCAGTCTCCCTCTAGGTGACCCAGGCAAAGTGGTGGAAATCAGATGCTGTTCAAGGAAGAGGTAGTGACAGCTTCCCTTCATTTGTTCTGGATAGACCTGCTCTGTTCTTAAAAAGGAAAGGCAAACAGATAAAAAAATGTGGTATCTTCCTTTCTTATCTGTTATAATTTTTCTGTGAATACCATTGCGAGTAAGGAGATGAGGGTGCTGCTAGCGGGATCACTTATGCTTTTGCACAATTATTTACTCTCTTTTTTAAAAAATAGCGTGGTCAGAAGAATTTGGCAGGAAATCTCTCCTCTGACTTCTCTTGCTTGGGGAATCTTAGCCTGGATTCCCCGAAAGGGTAGAAGCAACTCCTTTCCTTGATTGCTCTCTAACCCTGCTATAGGCGATGCAGTAGGTAGAATTCTGTTATGCCCAGAACCAAGTTCTCTGCAACCCAGAGGGAGAGGACAGGTGTATGGAGGAAAGATGATTGGGCTGCTCTCTGCTTGAGAAACTACCTGCAGATCTATGCTCTCACTTTGGCCTCCATGTGGCACTGTTCAAAGAATATACATACATGCATTGGGAACCTCTCCCTATAGAACAATGCGATGAACTACCAGCTTCTCCTGTCAGTGAGTCTAAAGGTGAAGGATGCTGCAAACAGTAGCTTAACAACATCTGGAGTGCCACAAGTTCCCATTCTTTATCCTGGAAATGCTTTGTAGCCATGTGTTACCTTTGTGCCAATCCTTGCTTATGGCAATATAGTGGATATAATTTTGCTCACTGGAGGCTGGACAGATAGCAGTATCAAGGAATATTGCTAATATTCTCTAATTTGGAATCAACACACCTGTACTTTCTGGGTGCAATATCTACAGGTAGAAGGCACATATAATTGAGGGAGGGGATTTGTGTTGTCTCTGCACAAGGATTTAGTTTATTTAGATAGTACCTCTTTCCTCTGGGCTCTGCAGTAGTAGAGATTAGACATGGCTGAAAGAGAACGCAAGTGGATGAAATCTTCTTTGTGGATGGCTAGAGGCCCAGTTCTTCTTGAGAAACATAAGCAAGTGAGTGGATATCCCAGCTTCGTTTTGCCATACTCACTTTGTGGCAACATTGTTAGTTTTACTTGCCTTCAGTATGATGCACAAAAAAAGAGAATTTGTTTTCCCATTGTGATTCTTCATTTCAAATGGGAATTCAAATCTCCAAGTGGCTACATTTCAGTCGCATCTAGGTAGTGGGCTCTTCATGTATGAAAACCTTGACAATTGCTCTATGGTATCCATATTGTTGCTTGCATTGGCAACATATTAATGGTCTACAAATGTATGAATAACAGAGGATAAAAGTATGGCTTCCAGGTATTATAGGAAAACTTAAAGAAATATATTGAGCCAACAATTAGAATATTTAACCTAATATTTCATAGAGCTTTTTTTTAACACTATCTCTGTTTCTTGTACACACTTAGGATTTTTTGACTTGAACATGTCACTGAAAGACTGAGTAGGCAAACAAAATGGAAATGTTAGTAGCTAGAATAGCACCTGTTTCAATGCAGTTCACACTCTCTCCAGTGCTAATTCTATTAATGTGCAAACATCACAGATGTGTTCTTGTTTAACATACAAAGTCTTATGTGGCTTGTTATTCTGGTTTATGCTTCTGGTTCTACAAAACACTTTTAATATTAACATTATTTAAAAAATTCATAAGCTCTTAAGCATGGCGAAGGCATTTGAAATATCAAGCTGCTTTAAACTACTGGGGTCTCTTCTTTATGTCTCCCCTCCCCAATAGGTTGTGACTCAGGATGGCTTTTTTGGTATCTGTAATTGAAAGACATGCAACTTTGTTGCTGCTCCTTAGCTATCCTTACTCATTAAACACCCACAATGTGCCTATCATTATACCTCAAATTCCACTGTATTTATTCGCAACAGGATGACTGCACTTAAACTAATAAAGTCAGGTTTTGCCTAAGAATTACGATGTACAAAAGAATGTTTGTTTTTAATGGAATCAATTAAAACAGTTGACTGATCTGCATCCATATCAATGATGCAATTTTGACTCCAGGTTTGCTTGCAAATATTAGAACAACCCAACAGTTTGAAAATAGCTAAATTTCAACATCCCACAGTGTGTGTTGTAATACTATTCCTGTACAAAGATCAGGCCAGCCATAGGCATTTTTACACTTCTTTCCGCTTTGTTCTTACTATTTTTATTTCTTCTATCTTTGATTTTTGCAAGAATCAGTTAGATTTCATGCCTAGTGGCCATGCTGTCTTCTGATTATGCTTTTTTGTTAAATTTATATCATGCCTTTCTATCATGGAATAAAAGAAATACAAAGCAATTCCTCCAAATTTCCCCTCCCATAACCTTGTGATGTGTTCAGTTGCCATACTAGCTCCTATGGTTCTATTTCACATTGCATAAAAATTAATATGCTATATATTTGAATGGATATTTTGAAATCTTATTCTTGAAATAGTCATTTGATAATGTATGTCAGTTCTATATTATAATGTGTACCATCCTTAATTATATAGATCACAAGTCTAATGGACATATTCAGAAAGACAGGCATTTTCATAGAGACGTTGATAGAAGGTAACTAAATCTTTGGCTTATAACAGCTTTCCGTTTTCTAAGAGAAGCTCCAGGCCAGGATGCATTATTAGAAATACATATTATAATTCAGATTGGTTATTGGCCTTGCAGTGTTCCAAGAAAAAAAAAAAAAGAGAGAGAGAGAGAGAGAGAGAGAGAGAGAGAGAGAACTAAAAATTAGGAGCTTGATAGATGTTGATGAACAAATTATTTCCACTATGTACTATGTTCGAGACCCAAGTTAAATATTTCTGAAGCTTTCAGACTATTTTTTCCACCTCCAATATCTGGGAGTTTTGAAAGGGATTATTAACAGGTTTCCCCATATTGTTCCCTACTAGCTTAAAGAAATGTTTTAGTGCTTATTTAAAGAAGGTAACTGAAATTAATGACTTATTGTAGAAAGAGGTAATCTGATGCTTTTTTATATTTTATACGTCAAGTCCCTTCTGTCCTAAATATTATGTTTGATGACAAAGGAATAGGGACATTCCCATAATTATGCAAGGGTCTGTTTTTGGAATCCTTGCATAAACCTATTTCTTTGTATGCATATGTATAGATGCATGCAAGAGAATGGTGGGCTGTGTTATGTGCATGCACAAGTATTATGGCTTTCATTTTTGTATATTGAAAATAATGAGTGTAATTATTTATTTATTACATTTATATGCTGCCTCTCTCCCCAATAAGGCGACTGTTCTTTTTTTGCTCCTTTTTTGTAAATCAGATCTTAATGTAGTTTCGAGGTAGTCTGCCTAGGGCCATCCAAAATTTGGATTGTTTGCCCATAATTTAGCATCCTAGGTAAGACAGCAGAAAATAGAGATATAAGATAATTATTCTATTGCATACCTGTTGGAATCATTTATCCCTGGCTTGAATATTTAATTCCCCAGGACCGCCCAATGATTTTGATTACAAGGACCATACTTATTGGACATCATGTTGTAACCTAACATATATAGTTTGTTTCCAGTTGTTCAGCATTATTAATCAGTTTCCTTGTGGCAAGAATGAACTAGATCTCTCTATGGATGTGTGTTACTTTATGGCCCACTTAAAAATATAGTCCCATTAAAGCATAGCTTCCTGACACAAGGGAGATACATATATTCTTATCTTAGGAATTTATAATATCACCATGGTAACACTTTTCATGCCTTATACTTGGCCTCTGACATTTTCACCTAAGAAAAGCTCAATAGAGAATTCTATTCTTGCTTTTCTGAGGATGAGGTGTTGGAAGGATTGCAAAGCAAAGAAAGGAAGTTTGAATAACAACAATTATATTTAACAGATTTCTGTTAGTGTTACGTATGCAAAGAAAAAAATCAGTAACTTGTGCTGACAAGTTATGTGGGTGTCGGCTCTATGCATCAATTTATTCCAGTATTCAACAAAAGATGCTGACTTAACCATGGCAACCCCTTCCCTCCCTTTTTCATCAAATATTGGAGTGCATATGTTCTAGAAAAATGTGGCACATTTTAAAAAGAAATAGCAATGCTATGACACATAATTGAGCAAGTTTAATTATGTAAAGCTTTATTTTGAATAGAGTTATATCTCG